TGTTAAGTTGAAAAAACTTAAGTCCCAGAAGAGTATATATGGTTCAGTTACAATATGTGCATATATATATATGATGTGTTATTTTTAATAACATTTTAATAAAGAAAACAGCTTTCCTAATGTGTCTAAGATTAGAAAAGCCATTTGAATCATCTTTATTTCTACTATAGAAGGGAGATTTATCTTAAACCATTCTTATTAATATTATCAAGAAAAACTGAGATTTAGTAACATTTCAGTACAAAGCTTTGTTTAACAAAGCTTACTAAGCCTAAAAAGGGATGTGTTATATCAGCGGATAGAATTTTTAAAACAATAACTTTCCCACCAATTACTGTGTGACTCATGCTATATTACAATATTTCAAATATTTCAAAACATTTTAAGTAACAATAGAAGAAATAATCTTATGACCATGAAATTTTTGCGACTTTTAGCATTAGAAAAAATTTGTATTCATTTTTTTAAAAAACAGTTGAGTGGTGAACAAAAGGTTCTTTTTCAGAGTAAATGGGAAAAATGTAGTGACTCTAAAACTTCATTCTTCTTCAAACTTTCATCTTTCTGTTAAGCATAACACTGTACCAACCTTAAAGGAGAAACTCACATTTATGATGTAATTCTTCCCAGATTGAATAAAGTTTTTCTTTACATAAGTATATGCATAGAAAATTATTTCCAATAATATACATCAAACTGGATTGTTTAGTTTTTGGAAAACAATTATTAAATTTTAAAAATATGTTTTTAGGGGCGCCTGGGTGGCTCAGTGGGTTAAAGCCTCTGCCTTCAGTTCAGGTCATGATCCCAGGGTCCTGGGATTGAGCCCCACATCAGCTCTCTGCTCAGCGGGGAGCCTGCTTCCCTTCCTCTCTCTCTGCCTGCCTCTCTGCCTGCCTGTGATCTCTTTCAAATAAATAAATAAAATCTTAAAAAAATATATGTTTTTAGAAAGAACAGACAAAACGGAAGAAATGGAAATTACAGATCAATGAGGGAGTGTGTGCCAATTTCAGGGTTTAGCAAAATTGTTTGCTTTTACGTAAAAGTTGGAGAAATATATTCAGTTTGAAACTTTTCCCATCAACCTAAAATCTTGTTAAGTGTTACTCTTGCCAGAAGCTAAATAATATCCTAAATATTAAAGAACAATTTTTTTATACTCAGATTGTACTTTATTTTGAACCGTACACAGAAAGAAAGCTCTACTGTGCCTTTGGAACAAAAGTTAAAGAACAATTTTAAGTATTACTTCATCCTTGCTTGAGCTAAGAAAGTATTCCTATACATATATGCATACAAAATAAACTTTCTGAAAAATATATGGCAAACTCATTCACTTTCTACATTACATATAACCATATTACTGTATTTTTTAAAAAGCACAATCATTAAGGAAAATAAAGATATTTAAGAATAGATGTTGAACTATGCTAAGAATTAAATAAAATAAAACAGCAAATTAAAGAAATAATTTTAAAAACTCATTAAAGGGTTCCCAAACTTGCCTGATCTTATAAATTATCTGGGGTACTTCATAAAATACAAACTGTCATGGCATATTCCAGATGTACTAAATTAAAACCTCCAGAAGACAAACCTTTGTATCCAGATATCATCTAAGACACCGCCCAAGAAAGGGTAGATTTGGAAAATCCTGGTAGATCAGGATTAACAAAAAAAATTTTAAAACCTGAAAATGATAAACAGAATAAATATAAAATTTTGGTGTTCAAGTGAAGGAAGTGCAAAGGAGCCATGCACAAAGATATTTCCTGAATCTGTGCTTGTAACAGAAAAAAAGGGAAAAAATCTAAATGTGCATCAATAGGAAAACAAAAAATGAACAAGACATACAATGGAATACTGTACCGCTGTTAAAAAACCTACATCTACCTATTCGACATAGATGAATCTCAAAAACATCATTTGTAACAAAAGCAAGTTATGTGCTTGTATATGTACGCATATATATGTATTTACATGCGTATACACACATTTAAAATACATTAAAATGTCTGTATGTGTCTGTATGTATATAAACATGTATTTATATATATTTTCAAACTATATATAGTGTAAAAGCATGGATGAATGCTTCATTCTCTCAAACTTGTTTTGCATGATTCAATATTTCCTAAATTAATATGATTGATTACAGCCTGTGTTGGTGAAGGAGTGAACAGATAATATTTTTGAGGGCAATCGGCATGTATACATTATTGAAACGAGGCCAAAAACTGTAAATATATTGAAATAATGCCAATATGAATAAACTGGAAGTTTGTGAAATAAATTAAGATGATTTGAACACTCTTGAAACATCAAAAACAGGTAAAGTGCTTTAATTGTTACTAACCTGAAAAAATAGTATACTATTACATTAAAATAGAAGCATAAATTAACTATATGAATATAATAGTGAATAGAGAATATTTAGTAAGGTCATATACTAAAATATGTATCTTAATGTTACAAGTTTATATATATTTCAAATTTTATATAAGAAACCTCCAAAGTCAAAGAAAAACTAATTTTTAAGAAAATTTTATATGCAATTAATCGAACTAAAGAATTTTAAATGATCATTTAGTCTTCAACTGACTCAAATGATTCAGAAAAAAAAATGTGTCCTACATGGAGAGAAAATAATAAAGCAAATGTAGTAAAACGTTAACAAGTAGGGAATACAGTGAAGGCCTTGTGGGGCTTTGAAATTATTTCATTATAATGTTCTTTAAAAAAAAAAACACATAATAATGGAAGGTTTTTTTAAATTTAGTTTTGGTTCTTTTTGCCTATGACATGATTCCCAAACCTACCTGATTTTAAGAATTGTGGGGCACCTGGGTGGCTCAGTCAGTTGAGCATCTGATTTCAGCTCAGGTGGTCTCGGGGTCATAAAATTGACCCCCAATTCAGGCTCCACACTCAGTGGGCAATCTGCATGGGATTCTCTTTCTCTCTATCCCTCTGCCCTTCCCCCAACCCCTGCATGCTTGCAATCTCTCTATCTCACTCTGAGATGAATAAATAAATCTTTAAAAAAAAGAATTGTGTATGGAACTTAAATACAGGGTCCCAGAGCTGGCTCCAATTTATTGAAAAAGAATCTTCAGGGTAAAGTCTAGGAATCATAATCTCAGTATCTGTTAGGACGTAGCAGGTTTAGAAAACATTACCTAATGGTAATTTTTTTTTTTACTTGAGTATACTTGACACACAATGTTACTTTAATTTCAGGTGTGGAATATAATGATCCAACTTCTCTATATGTTATGCTATGTTCACCACAAGTCAAATAAAATAAATGAATAACATAACATAATACAAAATTATTAAAAAAGAAAACAAAAATCAAATAAAATTTTAAAAATACAATAAACCAGATAATACTCAGTGTTGGTATACTCATGAGAAAAAAAGGAATGCTCATATGTTATAGATGCCAAATTGAGACAATATTTTTCAAGGCTGATTTCCATGACAATTAAAAGCATCCATAGTCATTTCAATGACAGTCCTAGGAATTTAATTTAATACATATTAGTATTTAAAAAACTATGTACAAAGAAGCTCAGTCAACATTGTCATAGAGAAAATTACAAATAGCCCAAGTACATATAAATATTGGAATGTATGTATGTGTATTATCTTTATTTTAAAGGAAAATATTTGGACGATTTAGAGTAAAATGTGAGTAGTATATTTCTTGAGGCAGGAATAAAGCTGATATATTGTATATATGTGTATATATACTCACCGTTTCACCTCATGGAAAGACCTCAAAAGACCCTTTAAAAGAGGAACCATCAGCTTAAGTTTATAATTTAAAGTCCTTAATAGGAGGTGCTGTTGAAGGGTCTATATTTACAGGGTGATTCCACCCGCAGGAGAAAGAGGTTGTCAAGATTTTACAACTCGAAATCCTATTTTTTAACTGAAAATAATTGTATTGTCTAATTATAACAACCAAAAATGGAATGCATGCTAATGGGAAACAAAAATAATCACCCTCCCCCCCCCCAAAAAAAAACCCAGAAAGGGAAATAAAGTAAAAGTTTTTTGGTTTTTTGGTTGTTGTTTTTTTTTAATGTCACTTTCTATGTGTTTTCCAGAATTCCTTGCCTCCCTGTTAACGGGTAATTCTGGGTTTTACTTGCTGGGGAGTGGAGGGGAGAGAAGTGGGCATTTAATGGTTTAGAAGATAACGAAGTAATTATTTAAAGGCTCCAGCAGATATCAGGGGAAAGGCAAATATACACTACAAAATATTTGACCCATTTGGTCTTAAAGATTGCTAAACAGGAAAAAATAGGGATGGGTTGTAGTGGCGAGAAGGCAGGGATGAAGAAAAAGAGGGCCCCGCCTACGCTCCCGCCCCCACCCTCTTGCCGCAATGCAGGTGGGAACCATAATTGGGTATCTGAGCTCACAATGACGTGGCCCTTACGAGACCTAGAGCTGACGCGTGGATCCGTGTCTCCTCCTAGTTGCAGTCTGGTAGTCGTTTGCGGCTGTGCGCTGTCTCGCTATTGCCTTGAAGGCAGGCGAGCCTGTAGCCCAGGGAAGGAGGAAGTCGTAGAAGCTGACCCTGATCCGCGGCAGGTTAGTGGGCGCTGACTGGATGGCAGAGGGTTAAAACCAGAGCGGGTTCAAGACTGGATTCTCTCTACCCCTTACCCAGTACCCATTTATATGGTTCAAGAAATGGAGGGCTTGGTGGGAGGAGATCCAGAGGGGCCAAGGGTTGGGAATGGGTATCAGTTAGGATGTCCTAGGAGTGGAGATGTGCTGGGCGATCCGGCATCCGGAAGGGAAGGGTCCGAGAAGGGGACAGCGAGGAGACAGCCTGATTCTTCCAGGACGACGGGAGAGGGTCGCGGACTCCGCCGCGGGTCTAGGCCTCGGTTCTGGAATCTGTTCTCCACCGTCCGTCCATTTTGGAGCCGGAAATGGTGGGCTGCGGCAAACTGTGGCAGGGGTGGCGGGGGCGGGAGGGGAGCGGGGCGGAGATGATGGTTGCTGCAGAGGATAGGGACAGAGATTAGGTTCGGGAAACACTTTCCTTCTGCGGAGGACGCATCGAGCAGAAGCTTTTTGACTGAGATACAGTCGGGGAGCAAGAAACTGTTTCTGACCGCTGCAGGTCAGTGTGAGCGTAGGCGCCGCTTGCAGACCCTGGGGTAAGCAAGACAAAGCGCTGAGACTTCAGCGGGTCCAGGTTTGCAATGCCCACACTACCTCTTCGCCCTTCGTCCATTTTGGTGCATAAAATGGTGCAGTAAAAGGAGGGTGAATTCCAGAAAGTCTAGTGGGTCCCAACCACACTGAATTTCTTAATAAATAAACCACGTCACCATCTGGCAAGGTGTTTTGACTCCCCCGCCCAGCATTTGCATTTGAGAAATGGTAATTAGGTGACGGGAAGGATGAGACGGGGTAAAGGGGCTAAAGAAGAGGTGAAACTGGTTTGATTTTTTTTTATTACAATGCCTGTTTCTGGAGAGCGGTGTTAGTACATCAAAGGGCAGGAAATGAAGCCGGGAGAGAGGAGAAAGAGAAGGTGGCAACATTTGATTAATGGAGGCCTGAATCAACAACGAACTTGGTGCCTGCCCCTGATACTGGTCTTTTAATCAAATGATCAGTCCTGGTCATTGTCGCATTTCTGTCTGCAGGTCTTTAGGTCGGTTGGTGCAGCAGATTTCAAAGCTAAGAGAGGAAGACTGCTTCTGATCCCTGCAGGTAGGAGGCTGCTTGGGAACCTCTGGTGTAGGGTTATCAGGGGTTAAGACGGAATCTGGAGGACTCACTGCCCTTCGTGTCCGAGTTAAGTGCAGGAGGTTCGAGGAGTGGCCTAAGGAAAAATTTACGGGGAAAATGGTGGACTTTGGAGGAGGGCTGGGTGTGGGGCGTCCCCTAGAGGGCGCAAGAAGTCGCTTAAATGGGAAAACCTTTTCTGACAGAGCTCTGAATCCTGTTGTTACAAAGCATTCCATCCTTCTTCTTGCTTTTTATCTCCTAGGAAGAATAAGCAGGAAAAAAATCTCAAAATGGAAAATATCCCCCAGGAAAGCAAAGGAGACGAGCAGGCTCTGGTGCAGAATGAAAACGAAGCTCACCCTTTGGGAGGTGGTGAAGACCAGGAGCCTGGAGGAAATATTAGAGCGGGCTGGGCCCCACCTGCCCATGATGTTAGAGAGGATATGCCCAATAGGCTTGTCAATAACCTTGACATGATAGATGGAGATGCAGATGATATGGAACGGTTCATGGAGGAGATGAGAGAGCTAAGGAGGAAAATTAGGGAGCTTCAGTTGAGGTACAGTTTACGTATTCTTATAGGTGATCCCCCTCACCATGACCATCATGATGAGTTTTGCCTTATGCCTTGAATGCTGAGGTTAATAATAATAAACCCCCTGCTTCCCAAAGTTGCATTTTCTTGCTGTACCTTTTGCTGTGAACATGTGGTGTTCTGTCATTTTTCTGATTGAAAATTTCATTTTGACTTTGGAAGTTTTTCTGTCAGCAGGGGAGTTTCATCAACTTGCATGGAAAGATGTTTATTACATACTGTGAAGGTAATAAAGCAGTTTAAAAAGCAGTCTATAAATATACTATCTCATTTAAAAGCATGCATATTATATATATGTATCAGAATGTTTTTTTCTTATTTTCTTTAATTTTTCTTGATTGCCTGCTTTTTCTCATTTTTCCAAAATGAATACGTATGTATTATATGTGTCAGAAAAGAAGTAAGAGGACAAAAACTTGCCAGTTGGCTTATAAAGGGAATGGAGAAAAAATTACTTGAGACATAATTTAAAGACACATAAATATTATATTACATCTTATAATAAGATCTCTTATTTAGAAGCACAAACCTCGTCATTATTACAGATACATTTCTTTACAGTCAGCCTATTAATCTATAAATGAAGATAACAGATGCACCCTTCAGGTGCTCTTCATATTTAGAGAAGAGCCCATGAAGTAAGTCTACCATCAAGTCTAATTGAATGCCAAGTGGGTGACACCTTTAAAAAAGAAAGATTTTATTCTTTTATTTGAGAAAGCATGTGCACAAGTGCGGGGCGGGGGGGCGGTGGAGAGGCAGAGGGACAAGCAGACTCCTCGCTGAGTGGAGAGCCAAATACAGGGCTCCATCCCAGGACCTCCAGATCATGACCTGAGCTGAAGTCAGATGCCCCTGTGTAACACCTTTCTTATACCTATGCCACTGGTCCCCACCACTGCTGATGTGCTGGAGTCCTAAAAGTGACAAAGACCTACTGATTTCTCTTGAACATTCAGTGGTCTGAATTCCCATTTTGCCCTTTCAGAAATGTGGAGAATGCCCTTTCCTTCTTTGCAGTTATACTTAATCCAGGTGGGTACTTCCCTAGTGCTGCTTAGGAACCCAAATAGCCCTTTATGGTTTTTCTTGGACTTTCTTCCTTATCCCTTCCCCTAGATAAATCTGAGTGACACTCATTATAGTGTGTTCAAAATTGGACTACCCTTTCCATCCTCTGATGAATATGGCCGATTTCCTTGACTCTCCATTTTCTGTGCAGACACTACTACAGGTTTCATTCTGCACATACATAGGTGTGGGGTGGCTTTATGTCCATAACATCCTAACCCTAGAATCCCCAGTAGTCTACTCATACTAACCTACATGGATCCAAAGGAGTTTTCCTCTTTGCTTTGATTTTGGCTGTGCTCAACAAACCTAAAATCACAGAGCAATGGGAAACTGGCTGAGTCTGGAGACCTAGTAGGTGGACCCTTGTTTTAGAGTATTTTCCATCACCCAGTAATCAGTGGTCCCTAAGTAGACTGTGCCTTTCATAGTAAATATATTGCCCAATTTGTCCTGGTACCCTTGGTTTATAGCGTAGAGACTGGTAAGTTGCAGGGTACAACAGTTAAGGATAGGTGAGTCAAGAGTCCTGCAATCCAGGCTCAGGTTTGCCTCTGATCATTTATGGGCAAGTAATTTTTTTTTCCCTACAGATTGTAGCTTGCAATTGAAAAAGGAACACAACAGAGAAAGCATTATGCAACAATTTCAACACATGGACTTACTGTAATGTTACATAAGTCAGTCTTTATCAACATGTGCTGTAAAGACCAACTGCATCATAATCACCTGAAGAACTGGCTAAAAATTCAGACAACTAGGTTTAACTCCACACCCACTAAATCCTGCAAGTTCATCAGATATCTCTGGACTTAGATAAAGTGAAGATCCCCAGCTTTAGTTCAGGTTTGGGCACTCCCCTCCTCATGTACATATGAAAGTAGTTTTTTTTTTTTTTTAAGATTTTGTTTATTTATTTGTCAGAGAGAGAGAGAGAGAGAGAGAGCAAGCACAGGCAGAGTGGCAGGCAGAGGCAGAGGGAGAAGCAGGCTCCCTGCCGAGCAAGGAGCCCGATGCGGGACTCAATCCCAGGACGCTGGGATCATGACCTGAGCCGAAGGCAGCTGCTTAACCAACTGAGCCACCCAGGCGTCCCTGAAAGTACTTTTTAAGTGCCTTTGCCGCTTCCTGATGGTGCATGGGAGAAGAATGAGGCACAAAGGAGTCCGCCGCAAGAGAGAGGAAGCAGGGGTCGACAGTAGAAAAGACTCACCCTGAACAACTCCTCAGTCCCATATTTACTAGATATTAGTAATCAACAAAGGAGCCAAAGAAGGCTATACATTAATCATATGCTTTGTAGATAAACAAGAAGGAATAGGAGTTATACATTGATTATAAGTCTTATAGACAAGCAAGAAAAAAAGCAGGATATGTCTGGTCAAGCAATATAAAATTCATAGTTGAGCAAGCACATTCAAAGGGATCATCAGATTAGCCACAGGTGGTCTCTAGAGTAGGGGAGATAACAGAAAAAGTGAAGCCAGCAGCATTCCGCCCGGAGCCAGCGAGGCATCCCCAGCTGCTCGGATTTAAGGAAGTATATCATCCTCTCCCCCAGAGGCCTGTTGCCCGTACATGTTTTTCTTAAGGCTATATCTAAGCATGCTTGGTAACTAGTGTAATTTCTCATGGGTTATATTTTAAGTAATACTTGTTCTGAGGAACACTTACAACCTTAATTAACCCATATATATCACGCTTTATGTTTCCACTAGACTGTGCCTTTTTTTTTAAGGATTTTATTTATTTATTTTTTGACAGAGATCACAAGTAGGCAGAGAGGCAGGCAGAGAGAGAGGAGGAAGCAGGCTCCCCGCTGAGCAGAGAGTCCGATGCGGGGCTCCATCCCAGGACACTGGGATCATGACCTGAGCTGAAGGCAGAGGCTTTAACCCACTGAGCCACCCAGGCGCCCCGACTGTGCCCTTTTTAAAGAGACAACTGTCTTTCTCAACCTTGGCAGCAGGTTTGAATTACCTTAGATTTTGAAGTGGAACTCAGGATCCACTCCCAATCAGTTGAATCAGACTCACTGGAAATGAGACCAAGGGATCATTACATTGTAAAAATAGTGATTCTGATGTACATGGAGAATTTAGAACAACTGAGTATAATTTGTGAAATAAGTATCTCTGGTTTATTTCTCTGCACTACCCCTGATTGACTATGTGACCCTTGGCAATTCATTTCACTTATCTAGCATATAGATCTTGTGAAATACATATCAAAGAGGAAGAATTATACCTCAAAATCAATACATGAGATCCTTTTAAAATAGTATATGTGAGGGCACCTGGGTGTCTGTTGGTTAAGCCTCTGCCTTTGGCTCAGGTCATGATCTCAGGGTCCTGGGGTGGAGCCCTGCATCAAGTCCTGCATCAGGATCCCTGCTCAGCAGGGAGTCTGCTTCTCCTTCTGCTCCTCCCTCTATGTGCACTCTCTCTCTGTCTCAGATAAATAAATAAAATATTAAAAAAATAATATATGTGAGTGTTTCTTCAAGTTTGCTAGTGTATCAAATGCTTCAGGATCACATGTGGAGCTTGTTTAAAATACAGAATCCTGGCCTGTGACCCAAGACTACTCTTTAGTAATGGTGCCTAGGTAACTGCAATGTTAACAAACTCCCGGGTGATTCTGTTGCACACTAGAGTTTGAGAATTACCTGTGCATACATTTGTATCTCAACTATATTAAGGACAAACCAGTAAAATAAATAAAAGAGAATATAGATATATGTTAGTCTATATTCAGGGAAAAGAGAATAGAGGAGAAGGCCTATCTGAGCATTAGAAAAATAAAAGATGAAACCATAAAGGGAAAAATTGATATTTACTATGTAAAAAATATTAAACCTTATGCAAAATATAGCACTACTGTGAATAAAAGTTAAAGAGGAGGGTTCACATGTCTTAAGATGATTTCCTCAACTGAAGACTGTGTAATGCTTTTCTCTCATTCCAATGTAGGATATAAACAATAAAATTGTTACAGAACCTGGTCTGGGTCCTGATGGAAGAACCAAGTGGCACTCGGAAACTTTGGAGGATCACACGTTTATTTAACACCTGCGGGCTCAGAGGAGAATGATCTCCAAAGGTCTGAGCCCTGAGCACAGACAAAGAGGATAATTTATATGCTTCTATTTTCCCATACTTGGTACTTCTGGCATGCACAGGAAGCAGGGCAGAAAGAAGAACCCGGAAGAGCCCCGGGGCAGGAGCTAGGACTCTTTTGCTGACTCAGTTGGCCATCTTAGAACACAGATTTTTCCCTTATCAAAATGAATAAAAATTTCATTACTCTTGCCAATTTAAAACCTTGGTTGTGAGAGTCCATCCTAGCCATTTTGAATTGATCCCATTACTAGGGAGTGTTTATCTGCTTGTTTCAGGGGAAAGGTGGAAAGTTGAAAATAAGAATAAATACTCATTTGTATCAGTTTCCTGTAGCTGCTGTAACAAACAAACAAAACCACCACAATACAAATTTATTCTCTCACAGGTCTGGAGGTGTGGCAGGTGTCACAGGTGTGGGCAGGGTAATGCTCCCACTGGAAGCTCTTCAGAAGAATCCATTCATTGCAGTGCAACTGTTACCAAAGCTACAATAAGCAAAATAGTGTAGTATTGACATAATGACAGACATAGAGGACAATGAGATCAAATACACATCTCAAAAATAAACCCACACATGCATAGTCAAAAGATTGTCAACAAGGGTGCCAAGAACATTCAATGGGGAAAGGATATACTTTTCAACAAGTGGTGGTGGGAACACTACATATTCATATACAAAAGAATAAGGCTGGACCCTTAACTTCACCATATACAAATATTATCTCAAAATGAGTGAAAAACATAAACCTAGGAGCTAAAACCTTAACTCTTAGATGAAAGCATGGTAAAAGCTTCATGATCATGGATTTCTCCCTTTTGAAAGGAGAATATATATTGCATGCCTATCCACCATCATATCTGGAAGGACTTAAATTCTTTAGTTTCACAGGCTCACAGCTAAAGAGGATTTTTGCCTCAGGATGAATCATATTTCTAGTCTCACCAAGACTTAATTTAGATAGATGAGACTTTGGAGTTGATGCTGGAATAGATTAAGATTTGGGGGGCTGTTGGAATGGGACAAATGTATTTTATATTTTGTATATGAGAAGGATGAGTATTGGGGGGCCAGAGGGTGGATTATTAGGTACTGAATTGTGTCCCCTCCAAATTCATAGGTTGAGGCTTTAACCCCCAATGTGACTATATGTGGAGATAGGGTCTTTAAGGAGTTATATAAGGTTAAGTAAAGTCTTAAGTGTGGGCCCCCAATCAAATAAGTATTCTCCTGAGAAAAGAAAGAGACACCAAGAGGATTTGCTCAAAAGAAAAGGGCCATATGAAGATGTAGCAAGAAGGTAGCCATCTGCAAACCAAGAAAAGAGGCCTCAAGAGAAACCAAACCTGCTGACAACTTGATCTTGGAATTTTAACCTCCAGAACTATGAGAAATTAATTTCTGTTAAGTCACCCAATCTGTGGTATTTCA